GCCCGCGCGTCCGGGCCCCCGGGCACCCGCCCCCTTCCTTCAGTCCCTGGGCCTGTGGGGAAACTGAGGCCGAGTGTGGAGGCGCCCAGTGCCGCAAAACAGGGTCCCCACCCCCTCCCGGAGGGGCGGGAGGAGAAACACCAGTGAAGAAATTCACATCGTGTTACCCACCGTTGGGGGGGCTTGCGGAGGGCGGGGGCCCCTCTGGAGTCGGAAATGGCTTTTCTCAGCAAGTGACATTGGGCTGAGATGGAAGGGTCAGGACGACGCAGCCTTGCCAAGCGCTCGCAGGAAGCCCTGCCAGGAAGGGAATCTCACAGCAAACACTGCTTCCCAGATCGGGCGGGGCCCTCACCCTCTGGGGGCCTCAGTAGTCTCTGCAAAAGGTCAGGGATGGTGCGCGATCTTTAGTGTTTAATTTTTTGCAGAGACAGGGTCTCGCTGTGTTGCCCAGGCTGGAGTACAGTGGGGCGATCATGGCTCACCGCAGCCTCGAACTCCTGGGCTCAAGTGATCCTTCCCCCTCAGCTTCTCGAGTAGCTGGGACTACAGGTGTGCACCACCATGCCCAGCTAATTTTACAATTTTTTGCAGAGATGAGCAGGAGCGTCTCACTATGTTGCCCAGGCTGGTCTTGAACTCCTGGACTCATTCCTCTCTCTTCGGCCTTCCAAAGTGCTGGGATTACGGGCGGGAGCCACGGCACTAGGTACTACACTTAAATGAAATGGTGCATGAACGCCCTCAGCATTTCCCTACACAGAGCAAACTTCCACAGATAGGAATTGTATTCCTACTGCCATCACCAGTGGACTGGGCTGTCTCCCTTCTCAGACTGTGTTTCTTGAAGGCAGGGGCCATGTCCCACTTAGAACTGGAAGAACCACAGCTCTGCCATCAGACTCAAGTCTCTCCGAGGGCAAAGGCTCCAGCCCTGACCAGAAACCACAGACATCCAGCCAGCATCCTTCAGGCCCACCTGGGGAGTGGGAAGTTCTTATTCTCTGGGGAGAAACCTCAGGAGAGGTTCGTTAAGTCAATCAACAAACATGTACTGAGTGCATACTGTGGACCACACACTGCAGTAGACACTGGGGCACAGCTGGAAACAGAACAGAGAAAAATCCATGCCCCTTGATCATGCTTGGACCTGTGCCCTTAGATGAACGAATACCTAATGGTACCTAAGGGTTAGGGTTACAAAAACCCATTTTGTAATGGGCACAAGAGCCCTTGTCAATGGGCCAGGAGTGGTGGGTCATGCCTGTAGCCCCAGCACTTTGGGAAGCTGAGGAGGGAGGATCGCGTGAGCCCAGGAGTTCAAGACCAGTGTGGACAACGCAGCGACAATACAAAATAAATGTTTGCATTTTTTGTATCTCTACCAAAAAAATGCAAAAATAATTAGCCAGGCATGGTGGTGCACACCTGTGGTCCCAGCTAGCTGGGGGGCTGAGGCGGGAGATACCTGAGCCCCAGGAGGTCGAGGCTGCGATGAGTAGAGATCACGTCACTGCACTCCAGCCTGGGTGACAGAACACGACCTTGTCTCAAAAAAAAAAAAAAAAAAAAAAAGCCCTTATCAAATTTAAAGCCATCGTTTTCCAGCCCACAGATATTTACGGAGCACCTACGACGTGCCAGGCATCCTTCCAGGCACTGGGATTATAAGGGAGGATAAAGGAGACAGATCCCTGCCCTCTCTGAGTCTGTGGGATGTGAGTGACAGGCTAGGCAGGTTCACAGCTTGATAATTATGGGACTATTTGTATAGACAGAGGAAGAGTTTAGGGGGCAGTGATAGAAATTAACAAGAGGAAACCTGCTTATCGGGGGTGTCTGGGAGAGGGCTCTTGGGGGAGGGTAGCCTTGGAAATGAGACCTGAACGATGAGGTTGGGCAGCTCTGAGAAGGGAGGAAAAGAGAGAGCCTGGGATAAAGATACGTGTGTGTGTGTGTGTGTGTGTGTAGTACTCACTGGCTCCCTATTGTCCTCAAAATAAATCCAAGCTTGTCTCTCTTCCCACAAGGCTCTGCACAAAACTCCCCCTTTTCCCCTTGATGATCTCTTTTTTAACGTTTTGTTTATTGCCTCTGGAGTGCAGTGGTGCGATCTCAGCTCACTGCTGCAACCTCCGCCTTCTGGGTTCAGGTGATTCTCCTGCCTCAGCATCCCGAGTAGCTGGGATTACAGGCGCCCACCACCAAGCCTGGCTAATTTTTATATTTTTAGTAGGGACCGGCTTTTGCCATGTTGGCCAGGCTGGTCTCAAACTCCTGACCTCAGATGATCCACCCGCCTTGGCCTCCCAAAGTGCTGCGATTACGGGCTTGAGCCACCATGCCCAGCCCACAGTGTGTTTTGGATGTGAGTATGTTTACTCGGAGGTTGTTCGAGTCCTTGTTTGTCTCCCTCACCACGAAGAAGGCTGTGGAGGGACTGAGCCTGTCTAGGTCCCTGCAGGGCCTGGCACACGGCAAGTGCTCAATAACCAGCCTAAAGCCAGAAACCACTGGCCACATTCCCTGCTCACAAAGTCTCACAAACAGGCAGAGCCATCATTCCACGTTGCCAAGAGCCTGTGATTCCAGGTTCTCGGGGGTCTGTGAAGTGCTGATTCCAAACCCTTTTCAGCAGGTGTTTCACTCCCCTGGAAGGCCAACATCTCCCCTGCCAGGACCTTGAGCACACATAGTGGCATCTGTCCTCATTGTCTGCAACCGTCCACACCCCACATCTTCCTTCTTGTTGGTTGTGGTTTTTTTGTTTGTTTTTTTGAGACAGAGTCATGCTGTCGTCCAGGCTGGAGTGCAGTGGCATGATCTTGGCTGACTGCAACCTCCGCCTCCCAGATTCAAGCGATTCTCTTGCCTCAGCCTCCCAAGTAGCTGGGATTACAGATCTCGGCTCACTGCAACCTCTGCCTCCCAGGTTCAAGTGATTCTCCTGCCTCAGCCTCTCCGGTAGCTGGGATTATAGACATGCACCACGCCTAATTTTTTTTTTTTTCTGAGACGGAGTCTCGCTCTCTCGCCCAGGCTCAAGTGATTCTCCTGCCTCAGCCTCTCCGGTAGCTGGGATTATAGACATGCACCACGCCTAATTTTTTTTTTTTTCTGAGACGGAGTCTCGCTCTCTCGCCCAGGCTGCAGTGCAGTGGCACCATCTCGACGCACTGCAAGCTCAGCCTCCCAAGTTCACGCCATTCTCCTGCCTCAGCCTCCCGAGTAGCTGGGACTACAGGCGCCCGCCACCGCACCTGGCTGATTTTTTGTATTTTTAGTAGAGACGGGGTTTCACTGTGTTAGCCAGGATGGTCTCGATCTCCTGACCTCGTGATCCGCCCGTCTCGGCCTCCCAAAGTGCTGGGATTATAGGCGTGAGCCACCGCGCCCAGCTAATTTTTGTATTTTTAGTAGAGACGGGGTTGCACCATGTTGGCCAGGCCAGGCTGGTCTCGATCTTCTGGCAGGTGATCCACCCGCATTGGCCTCCCGAGTGCTGGGATACAGGTGTGAGCCACTGCACCCCTCCAGATCTTCCGTCTCCTGCCAAAGCCCCCGGCTCTGGAAACCCAGGGGCTCCTTCTCGACCTCCATCACAACGCTTGCTCACAGCAGCCTCACCTCCCTCTGCAGGGCTCTCCTGTCCTGGCGGCCCTCGTCCCTCTCTAAGCACAGGTGTGGTGGCTCAAACCTGTAATCCCAGCACTTTGGGAGGCCAAAGAGGCCAGGAGTTTGAGACCAGCCTGGGCAACGTATCGAGACCCGCATCCCCTGCCCCGCCCCCCCCCGCCCCCGTCTCTACAAACAAATAATAAACATAGGTCTCTGTCCTTCCTTAGCCCGGTCACCTGAATGTCACCTTGACCCATACCTCTGGCTTCCAGGGCTCTGAGACACCGCCTCCCCCTCGAGGCTTCAGTGACCGCCTCATGAGGATGGCTGCAAGCTCTGGCTCCACCTCTGGTTCCTAGCCTGAGATCCAGCCCTGTGGGTCCAGCCACCAACTGGGCATCTCCCCTAGAAGTTCCCCAGATCTCAGACTCTTACCCCCTGCTCCGGTCAGGGCCCCCACACACAGCCCCCCAGATACTCCAAACCAGAGCATCAGCCTAGTCCTCTATTGCCAGCACCAATCCTGCAACCCTCCTCCTTTCTCCCCGCCCCAGCAGCCCCCACCCTGACCAGGCCTTTGTCCTCTCTCCCATCTGGACCACAGCCACCTCCTCCCTCTGAGCAGCCTTTGTTTTTGGTGATCTTCAGTTGGAGCCTGGCCCTCCTTCCCTCAAACCCTCCCCTGGCTCCCTATTGCCCTAAGGACAAATGTCCAGCTCTTCAGCCTAGCACTGGAGCCTCTGCACCCCTGCCCCAGCCAGCTTCACCTTCCTCCACCAGATCACACCACACCCCCAACCCCCTCCAGCCACCCTGACCAGATTACCTAATTGGTGTCCTTTCTTTCCCACCTCTGCGCCTTTCCCTGCTTGTTATCTCTTCCTGGAATTCCCTCCCCCTCCTTTTCTGGCTGGAGAAAGTCCATTTTTTCAAGGCCTAACCCAAAAACTGTCTCCTCCAAAAGCCATCTCCCCCAGCCTCCTGTCATCCCCTCCATACGTGCGTACACACACACACAGTGGACACAAACTGCTTGGTGTTGGTGGATAAGTGGATATTTAGTCTACGACCACCTCCACGTGCTGCAAGAGGCTGGAGCCCTAGAGAGGACCCAGCCCCAGGCCTTCCAGGGAGGGGCTCCCAGAGCATCTGGCGGGGACAGAGGTACGGAACACGTACCCTCCCAGGGCCACATAGCGCACTGCCCGGTGAGTGAGCGGAGGCTTCCTGGAGGAGGGCATCTTTACCCAGCAGTCTTCAGATCCCTCTACCAGGCACATTGCACCGGGGAGGGTAAATACAGATTTGCGGATTGCCCGAGAAGCCACAAGACCACACGCGCACACAGGAACACACCCCATCCCTTGATGTGTGTGATCCGCCAGGAAGGAGGAGTTTCTGCTCTGGGCAGCAACATCCCTAACTTTGGAAGCAGCGGGCGGAATCTGGGGAGACTCAGCTGCCAGCAACTGTGTGCGATACTGGGGAACCCTTGGCCGCCTGTGACTGCCTAACTCCCCAAAATACCACATCCGGCCAGAGCAGGAAGCAGGGAAGCAACCTGCCAGGCGTGTTCCAGCCTGGGCAGAGTCCCCAGCCACTTCATTTGCCGCGCGGGGCTTCACGGACCACCTCTTTGGGCCTCAGTTTCCCCAGCTGCACCATCGGGGAAGAAGCTGCCAGAGGGGAAAAGGAGCTCAGCCGCCGATCTCCCCCTTCCCACTACAGAGAGACTCAGTCCCTGGTTCCTGGCTAGGGTTTTATAATGTGGATGTGGGTTTAGGAAAAAAAAAAAAAAAAAAAAGGAAAAAGCTGAGAAGCTGCGCTGGGACCCCGGATTGCTCAGACCACCTTAAATCAGCCTGGCCGCCCCAGCTACTGTGGAAATTCCTTTCTCCGCGGTGGTTGGCTGGGGGCGCCAGCCAATCCGCTCGCGGCGCTCCCACATGGGCCAGTGACGTCACAGGGAAAATTGGCCAATGGGGATAAGGAGACCAGCAACCAATGACAGGAGGCACTGGGATCAGTAGGGCCAATCGGAAGAGAGCTCGGCGCTCCCGGAGGGGTTTGGCGAGTGTGGCCCCCCTCCCTAGAATCTGAGACCCTGGTGGACGCCCGAGCCCAGCCGGATTGGAGGACGGGGGGATAAAGCTCCATTATAATTCGGAAACAAGGGAAAGCGAGTCACCCCCGAGCCTGGCCTATCTCCCCTTAAAAACAAGGGACCCTCGTGCAATATGCTACCTTGCAAAATCCCGGCTAGCTAGCGGAGCAGAGGTTGCATCTTTCTTCCTATTTCACAGATAGGTAAACTGAGGCAAAGAGTAGTTAAGTCACGCTGAAGACCTGAAGCTCTTACCCGAGCCTAGAGGCTCCAGGAACGGGCTCGGTTTTATTTCCCAGATTGGGGGGCGGGGATGGGCCTATAGGTAATCGGGGGGCGGGTGGTGCTGGTCCTTGTGCCTCAGTTTCCCCGAGCGTGCAAGCTGGAGGAGAGCACGGGTTTTCAGAAAAAGACTACGATTCCCAGAAGCTCCCGCGCGGCGCCCGCCCGGGCTGTCAATCAAAGTAACGTGGGTACCTCTCCGGCCCGCGCTCCCCCGCCCGCTACCTCCCTCCCGCCAGCTCCCGCTCCCTCCCTGCCGGCTCCCGGCCCGGCGCGGTATAATTACAGCCCATTGATCCGACCCGGGCCGGGAAAGCGGCTCCCTCGGGGAGGCCAAGCCTTTGGCTTCCGACACCGCCAACCTCTGCCTACCGCCCCCTCCAGCCGAGCTGCTGGGCCACCAGCCAGGCCTGTCCCCTCCCGCTGGCCCCGGGCTCGCGGGTGACCTCTGAGCCTCAGCTCCCCGCCACGCTTGGCGGTGTGCCCCCCCGGAAAAATCACACACACATTTCCTTCCACCCAGGAACATGGGGAGCCATCTCCCTAGAACCTCCAGGGCCTCTCTTTGAGCCTCAGTTTACCCACATGCACAGTGAGATTGCTGGACGAAACTCATTCATGAAACCAATACTCCGTGCCGTTCTGCCTGTGAGCAGCCAGGGCTGACCTTGGTGGAAACTCAAGGAGGGGCTCCCAAGTTTGGGAGGACGGGAAGACAGCCCAACTCTCTCAGAACCCCCGTGGTGGTCAGGGTTGGGGTGAGGGAGGATCAGAGCTGGGGGTGGGAGTCGGGGCAGGCTCAGCCAGGATTTACCGCCCTCATTGGGAAGTTGGGATAGCTTTCTAGCTGTTAGGTGGTAGTATTTAATAGATGTTGGGGCTGGGTGTGGTGGTTCACGCCTGTAATCCCAGCACTTTAGGAGGCCGAGGCAGGCGGATCGCCTGAGGACAGGAGTTCGAGGCCAGCCTGGCCAACACAGTGAAACCGTCTCTACCAAAAATACAAAAATTAGCCGGGCATGGTGGCACGCTCCTGTAGTCCCGGCTACTCAGGAGACTTGAAGCAGAATAATTGCTTGAACCTGGGACGTGGAGTCTGCAGTGAGCCGAGATCACGCCACTGCACTCCAGCCTGGGCAACAGAGTAAGACTCTGTCTCAAAACAAAAAAACAAAAAACAAAAAAAAAGTGTTAGGCTTCAGTATTTAAGCTAGGGTTTTGCAGAATGCATAGGAGTTGCCTCATTTGAGCAGTGCCTTTAGATCACCCTAACCCTAAGTGGACAGAAGAAAGATGGGGCAGCCTTAAGCCCTTTCCTGTGATAGAGTGAGCCTTGGGCTCTGACCCGTAGCTTTGCTGTGTGGATCTCTGAACATTCCCCAGCTGTGAAGTAGGGGAGAGGTAGACACCCCCTACAGTTAGAGGGCCCCTGTACCTATTTTCGCATGGGTGCTGAAGTCACCGTGGGTTCTAACCAGTGGGAGTCAGGGACTGGGAGCCCATGGCAGGAGGCACTAGGATTGGCTGAGGGGCTCAGGAACTCCCGCCTCTCCCTGAGTAAGAACTGGGTGGCTGAGGGAGAAGTCCCAGAGTCACAGCAGCTCAGTGCCAGGCATGTTCACTCTGCTAGGGTTTCCTTGTCTGGAATGCAAGGTTGATAATAGAATCTTCAAATAAGGCCTATAAAGTACTTACAATAATGCATAGTAGGCCGGGCACAGTGGCTCACGCCTGTAATCCCAGCACTTTGGGAGGCCAGACGGGTGGATCACCTGAGGTCAGGAGTTCGAGACCAGCCTGGCCAATGTGGGGAAACCTTGTCTCTACTAAAAATAGAAGAATTAGCCAGGTGTAGTGGCACATGCCTGCAATCCCAGCTACTCAGGAGGCTGAGGCAGGAGAATCCTTGAAATCCAGAAGGCGGAGGTTGCAGTGAACCGAGATCACACCACTGCACTCCAGCCTGGGCAACAGAGCAAGACTCCGTCTCAAAAATAATAATAATAACAATAATAATAATAATAATAATACATAGTAAATGCTCCATAAAGGGTGGTTATTTGTATTCCCCACATTTCTTTATTTTGTCCTTATTATTGAGACAAGGTCTCGCTCTGTCACTCAGTCTGGAGTACAGTGCCACCATCATAGCTCACTGCAGCCTTGACCTCCCTTGGCTCAAGCCATCCTCCTCCTCAGCCTCTGGAGTAGCTGGGATCACAGATGGGTACCACCACACCCAGCTAATTTTTAAAAAATGTTTCACAGAGACAGGGTCTCACTATGTTGCCCAGACTGGTCTTCAACTCCTGGGCTCAAGCAATCCTCTTGCCTCAGCTTCACAGAGTGCTGGGATTACAGGTGTGAACCACTGTGTCCAGCCCCCACTATGTCCTAAATAGTCCTTCTTTCCCACCCTGCCCTCACACCCTACATCTACGCTATGCATTCTCCATTGTGCCCACATCCTTGATGATCCATTGAAATGTGAATCAGGGCTGGGCATGGTAGCTCACGCCTGTAATCCCAGCACTTCGAGGGGCTGAGGCAGAGGGGTTGCCTGCAGTCAGGGGTTCGAGAGCAGCGTGGTCAACATGGTGAAACCCCGTTTCTACTAAAAATACAAAAATTAGCTGGGTGTGGTGGCGGGCGCCTGTAATTCCAGCTACTTGGGAGGCTGAGACAGAATTGCTTGAACCTGGGAGGCGGAGATTGCAGTGAGCTGAGACTGTGCCATTGCACTCCAGCCTGGGCAAGAAGAGCAAAACTGTATCCTCCCCCACCTCCAAAAAAAAAAAAAAAAGAATCAGATCCCATCCCTCCCTTGCTCAAGAACCTTCCATAGCTCCCTACTGCCCTCAAAATAAAATCCAAACTCCCTACTTCTATGTGATCTGACCTCCATCGCCTCCCTCTTCTCACCTCCTCCCACTCCTCCCCCTCTGCTCCAGCCACACAGGCCTCCTCCCTGTTCCTCACAGAGTCTAGCCTCAAGACCTCTGAAGTGCACTGGTTGTTCCCTCTGTCTGAACCACGGCCAGCTTTTCTCTTCCGTTCAGATCAAACATCACATCCTAGAGAGGCCAGGCTGGCTAGAGTAGCTCCCCTCCTCCTACCTGCTTAGCTTCTCTCATTCTTCAGAGGCCTCGTGGCTCTCTGAACACATACTATCTGTTCGCTTCTGTGTGGATGGTCTGCCCAGGCCCCAACATACTACTGGCTACACTGTATTTATTGGGAGAGTAAGTGGACAAGCCGATAGAGGGATAGAGGCTCACCAAGGTCACACAGCATGGTGGACGCGACGCCAGGTCCCCTGTGCTAACACAACCTGTAGGGGTCAGCTGAGATCTCAGAGATCGCACTACCCCCAGAGGCTGTGAGACCCAGTGCCACTGATGTGTAAGCCTGGGTTCAAACCCCACCTCCGCCGCTGCGTCACTGTGATCCTGTACGGTGGGATAATTATAGAAACTTCTTCATTGAGTCATCACAGGATCAAATAGCTCGATAGAGGAAAAAGCTCTGACCGTTATTATTGTGTGGGAATGTGCGGTGCCCAGCTGGGACAATTTGGGGTGTGGAAGCAGAGCTGGGGCTGGTACCCCAGACAACCCCCATTTTTAAACCCCTGGGGCTTTCTGGTCATTGCACCAACCCCATCACCCACACCACATACAACCCCTCTGTACCAAGTTGGGGGCTCACCCTTCTAGGATCCCCATGGACTCTGTCTCCATCTCCACCTTCCCTCCTTCCCTGGAGAGCTCATTGCTGGGCCCCAAATTTGCCCAGCCTGGTCTCCGTGGAAGGCACAGCACAGATGGGGGTTGAACAAACCCCTGGCTGCACGGCCCAATCTGAATCTTCTTTTATAAGACAGGGTCTCACTCCGTCGACCAGGCTGGAGTGCAGTGGCTGGATTTCTGCTCATTGCAATCTCCACCTCCCGGGTTCAAACGATTCTCGTGCCTCAGCCTCCCGAGCAGCTGGGACTACAGGCACCCGCCATCACACCCGGCTAGTTTTTTTGTATTTTTAGTAGAGACGGGGTTTTACTGTATGAGCCGGGATGGGATGGTCTCGATCTCCTGACCTCGTGATCCGCCCGCCTCAGCCTCCCAAAGTGTTGGGATTACAGGCGTGAGCCACCGCGCCCGGCTTTGTTATTGTTTTAAGACAAGGTCTCACTCCGTCGCCCAGGCTGGAGTGCAGTGGCATGATTACGGCTCCCTGCAAGGCTTAAGCAAAATCCTCCCACCTCAACCTCCCAAATAGCTGAGACCACAATCGTACACCACCACACCTGGCTCATGTTTTGAGATTTTGTAGAGATGGGGTCTTGCTGTATTACCAACCTCAATCTGAATCTTCCTCAACCAGCTTCTGGTTTGCAGTGAGACCTTTTAGGCCTTGTGGACGTCCGTTTGCTCACCTGGAAAAGGGGCACGGTACTGTCACCAATCCCAGAGTGGCCCTTGATGACAGCTTCTGCTGCCATTGCTTTTTTTTTTTTTTTTTTTTTTTTTTGAGACAGGGTCTCATTCTGTCACCCAGACTGGAGTACAGTGGCGAGATCTCCACTTACTGCAACCTCCACCCCCCAGGTTCAAGCCATGCTCCTGCCTCAGCCTCCCAAGTAGCTGGGATTACAGGTACATGCCACCATGCCCGGCTAATTTTTGTTTTTTTGTTTTGTTTTGTTTTTTGAGATGGAGTCTTGCTCTGTCGCTCTGTTGCCCAGGCTGGAGGGCAGTGGCATGATCTCGGCTCACTGCAAGCTCCACCTCCTGGGTTCATGCCATTCTCCTGCCTCAGCCTCCCGAGTAGCTGTGACTACAGTTGCCTGCTACCACACCCGGCTAATTTTTTGTATTTTTAGTAGAGACGGCGTTTCACCGTGTTAGCCGGGATGGTCTCGATCTCCTGACCTCGTGATCCGCCCGCCTCGGCCTCCCAAAGTGCTGGAATTACAGGTATGAGCCACCACGCCCAGCCTAATTTTCGTATTTTTAGTAGAGATGGGGTTTCACCATGTTGGCCAGGCTGGTGTTGAACTCTTGACCTCAAATGATCCACCTGCCTCGGCCTCCCAAAGTGCTGGGATTACAGGAGAGAGCCAGCGCGCCCGACCTGCCATTGCTATTATCACTGGGCTACCTGGTTGATATACACACCGTGGCCCTCTGAGTTAGGGGCTGAGAGCTTGCCCTGGGATGGGCACAGTGCCACCTGCAGGCTTTGCCACTGGGGCTCCCTCTGCCTGGAGCACCTGCCCCCTCCTCGACAGCCTCCTCCCCAAGATGGGCTCTTGCTGTCAAGCCCTTCTCAACTCAAATGTCACCCCCTCAGAGAGGCCTCCCCTCCTCTCCTGGGCCAAGCAGCCCCATCTCCGTCAACAGCCCTTGCTAGATTTTTCTTTCTACCACTTGGTGTTCTCTGAAATGGTCTTGGCCTATTTTCCAAACCTTCCCCATGACTCTGTGGGCTCCGCGAGGGTCGAGAGGGATACCCAAGCCTGGCACACAGTAGGCGCCCAATAAATACAGGAATGAAAGGTCTGCTGCTGCCCCAGGTGGGGTTTTAATTCCTTCCCCACCAATCCAGTTGCTGGGAGGTCAGGCTTTGGAGGCAGACAGGCCCAGAGACGCCTAGGGACCTGCCCAGGGTCACACAGCCACGTGCTCCGGCTGGGAGCTCTGTGGCTGCCCTTGCGGAGGGAGGGTGGCGGGGGCGAGTTCGCGGGTTGGGGGGGCGAGTTCCAGGGTTGGGCAGGCCTAGGGCAAGATTGCTCGCCCCCTCCTCCCGCACTGCTGCTGGGGAACCCACCATTAGCCACGCGGGCCTGGCCCAGCAGGGGAGAGGGGCAGTAGGGGAGCGTGGGGAACATGGGGAGCGCGGGGAGCGTAGGGACCGCCCCTCCCCGGGACCAGGATCTGAGACAGGGGTGTAGGAGGGAAGAGGAGGGAGAAGAGGAGAGAATGGAGGAGGAAGCGGAGGGACAAAGCGGGAGGCGGCAGAGGGGAGGGAAGGGAAGGAGAGGGAAGGAGAGGGGAGGGGAGGAGGTCCCCGGGTGGAGGGGACCCGGTGTAGGGGCAGGGAGGAAGGAGGGGAGAGGTGGGGGAAGGGGGCAGAGGGGGTGGAGGTGGAGGGAGAGGGAGAAGGAGGGGGCGGAGGAGGGCCGGGCTTTCAGGCCTGGCAGGCGCCCAGCAACTGGGGACGGGGTAAGGGGGGCCTAGGAGGGGGTGGGCCTGGGTGGGTGGGAGAGGTTTGCAAGGGAAGGTCAGCGGCGGGGGCGGGAGAGGGGATGGTAGGGAGGGAGGCGCCAATCAAGAGATCCAGGGAAGGTTAGGGAACCCAAGCTGGCGACTTTGAAGGACAGAGGGAGAAGCCCAGAGATCGCAGAAAGAGGGAGACGAGACCATCAGAGACCCCCGAAGCAGAGGGGGCCAGACGAGGGAGATTGTTGGATAATCTGTTTCAAACCTGAGTTCTATTTGCTTCATATTAGGGGTCTGTCCCTCTTCCCCAAGTCCCTAGGGATCCTATGTAGAAGCTGTTCTTGTTAAGCACCAGTTCTGTCCATTCTCCAGTACTAGCTCGGAAGTGGGTTTCATATTCGACTTAACAATTTAAATGAATGGAAATTTTTTTTTAAAGGCAGTGGGGACTCGGAGAAGGAGGGGGACAAAGACAGACATTACCCAGGAAAGTCAGAGGGGAACCCTGGGCCCTCAGAGGGGAAACCATGCAGGGGTGGTTTCAGCTCCCTTCTCTAGTTTTTAATTTAATTTTAAATTGTATTTTATTTTTTAGAGATTGGGGTCTCACTGTGTTGCCCAGGCTGCTATGAAACTCCTGGCCTCAAGTGATCCTCCCGCCTCAGCCTCTCAAAGTGCTGGGATTACAGCCATGAGCCAACTCGCCTGGCAGAGCTTTTTGTGTTTTGTTACTGCTTTGAGACAAGGTCTCACTCTGTTGCCCAGGCTGGGGTGTGGTGGCATGATCACGGCTCCCTGCAAGGCTCAAGCAGTCCTCCCACCTCAGCCTCCCAAGTAGCTGAGACCCCAGTCTTCACTACCATGCCTGGCTCGTATTTTGAGTTTTTGTAGAGATTGGGTCTTGCTATATTACCCAAGCTGGTCTCCAACGCCTGGCCTCAAGCAATCTTCCAGCCTCGGCCTCCCAAAGTGCTGGGATTATAGGCATGAACCATGGCACCTGGCGCCTTCTGCAGTTTTGTTTTTTTTTTTTTTTTTGGAGATGGTCTGGAACTCCTGACCTCGTGATCTGCCCATCTCGGCCTCCCAAAGTGCTGGGATTACAGGCATGAGCCACCACGCCACGCCTGGCCTCTGCAGTTTCTAATATCAGTCAAAACATCTAAGTGGGACCTGGGTCATGGCTCGCACCTGTAATCCCAGAAGTTTGGGAGGCCAAGACAAGCAGATCATTTGAGGTCAGGAGTTTGAGACCAGCCTGGCCAACATGGTGAAACCCCATCTCTACTAAAAATACAAAAAAATTCGCCAGGCATGGCAGTGGGGGCCTGTAATCCCAGTTACTCAGGAGGCTGAAGCAGGAGAACTGCTTGAACCCAGGTGGCAGAGGTTGCAGTGAGGTGAGATCACGCCACTGCACTCCAGCCTGGGTGACAGAGCAAGACTGCGTCTCAAAAACAAAAAACAAAACAACAACAATAATAACAAAAAATATAAAAAGTAGCCCAGGCGTGGG